CTTTCCCGCCGGACAGACGCCCCTCTCCTTCCGCGCGCCCCTCCCAGTCCTCAGTGTCGCCTTCACCCGCTTTCTCACGCGTCTAGATTCGCTGCAGGTCTGTTCTCGAACTCGTTCCCACGCAGCCCTCGTCTTTTTTTCAAACAGCTCAAAGTCTATTCCTGGATTTTGTGGTGAGCGAGGTCCAGCAATTGTTGGGGAATTCGCAGTTTCTCCTGGTGCTGCGGGCAGCAGTTGTTGTAAAGACTCGGGTTCACCAGTGGGACTTCCTAAAATATTTTCTTTCCTAAGATGATACTAGAATTTTCTTTAGTTTTAAATAAAGAAACGAAAAGAGCTTAGGATGAGATTTTCAACTCCTCTGGCTAGATCTCGATCTCTCTCTCTCTCTCTCTCTCTCTCTCTCTCCATACATATGCATATATTTTTTAAAATCTATATACCAATCACCACATACCAGACATTTTAAAAAATCTTGCCAAAAGATATTACGCATACTAAAGGAGTTGACTGGATGATGTGAACCGTATTCAGATATTAGTGATTTTTTTGGCCCTGATCAAAAGTTTTGGAATGTGTATAAAGGCATTGCAAATGCCGGGTCACTGTTACTGACTCTGAAATGTATGCTGACTTCTAACCATCGCAGCTATGTTTTCTTCTAAGAATTTCATAGTTTTAGCTCTTACTTTTAGGTCTTTAATCTATTTGAAGTTAATTTTTTTTTTGTATGTGGTGTAAGGCAAGGGTCCCACTTAATTATTTTTGCATGTGGTTATCTGTTTTCGAAGGCTGTTCTTTCCCCATGGAATGATCTTGGCCCCTTGGTCCAAAGCCAGTTGATCATAGGTGTGAGAGTTTATTTCTGGGCTCTCGATTCTGTTCCATTGGTCTATATCACACCGTTTTGATTACCGTAGCTTTGTAGTAAGTTTTGAAATTGGGAAGTGTGAGATCTCCAAGGTTTTTTTTTTTTTCCCCAAGATTTTTTTTAAAGCTATTCTGGATTCCCTGGATTGCATATGAATTTTACAGCGTATTTTCCATTTCCGCAATAATGACGCTGGGATTTTGCTAGGAGATTTGCTGCAGTGAAGCTGTGTGTGAGTTGGGTTAGGGCTGTCATCTGACAGTATTAAGCCTTCCAATGCTGAGAACAAGATGGCTTTCCATTTTTTGGGTCTTCTTCAAATCCTTTTAGCAACATTTTGTAGTTTTTAGTATACGGACCTTATACCGCCTTGCAGAAGCTTATTCCTAAGTATTTTATTCTTTTGATGCTTTGTAAATGAAATCATTTTCTTAACTGTTCACCGCTAGTGTCTCCTTCACTTTCGAGGGGTGATTTTGCCAGGTGCGGAATTCTACGTGTTTTTTTTTTCTTTCTTTCAACACTTTCAATATTTCACTCCCTTCTGTTCTCGCTTACAAAACGAGAAGTCGAGCGTAATTCTTACCCTTATCCCTCTGGGGGTTAGCTGGGATGTTCCTCTGGCTTCTTTCAAGATTTTCTCCTTTCCTTTAGTTTTCTGCAGTTTGTGTGATATGCCTATTGCACATTTTTTTTCCTTGGTATTTATCTTACCCGACGTTCCCCGAGCCTCCCGGACCCGTGGTTTGCTGACCGTCATGGATTCCGGAAAAGCCTTCGCCGTATTACTTCGAATCTTTCTCCGCCCCTCCCTTTCCTTCTTCTCCTGGATTTCCCTGACACGCGTGTCACATCTTCAGCGATTCTGCCACAGTTCTTGGCTGTTCTCTTACTTTTTGCCTCTTTATGTTTCCTCTTTGACTTCAGTCCGGGAAGTTTCCGTTGCGATCTCTTCACGAGGATCGGTTTCCTTGGGCATCGGAGGCGGTCTTCATTTCTGGTCTGGCGTGTTGGATCTGTAGAGTTTCTTTTTGGATCTTAGAGATGTCTTCTCTCTGCTCACAGTCGCTATTTGTTCCCGCACGTCGTTTGCCCTTATCACATTA